TTCTTCTTCAGTTTTCTCTCAATTGTTTGACGATTATTCCAACTCGTCGAGAATTCTCATCCATTGGAAATTCGACGGTCAGGTCGAAAATGATTTCTCCGTTGCTCGGCTCCCTCGAATCGGATTAAAGGATCGTCTGTTTGCGGGGCTGGATCGAACAGCCCCGAGCTTTGTCCCCGTCGTCTTTAAGACGTCTCGAACAAAGATTTTGCAAACATTAGCGATTCGATTAAGCCACCGTCTTGGGGCGCTCACCTTTAAAGTCTCGTCGCGCGGAAGTTTCCTAGTGAAATCGTTACTTAAGTTTCTCGCATTATACACTTTCACCAGCTTCGAAAAAGTTTCCGACGAACTTCGAGCCCCGCGGCCGGAAACACGAAACCCAACGTTTTCCTTCCTTTCCAGAGATGATCGTTCGTCGTTATTTATCGGTTGAACGCTGTCATGAAATTACGCCGTTAATCTCAAACCCTTTCCATCTATCGAGATGCGTAAAAATCGGCAAGTCGACTCAAATGGCTAATTCATAATTTTTGTTACGTGTATTTTTTGGAGATGTAAATGATTCCTCGTAAGATACATAAATAAGAGCTTTTATTTATATTTTATAGTTTTCCTATTTTTTTTTCCTTTTTTCGCTTTAATATCTTTGATGGAAATTCCATTTTCTAGTCGTTGATAGTTTCAGCATCAAAACTTTAAAAAACAGTAAGAAGCACTCTCTCGGTCGACGTGGACGAGTCGCGTTCGACGAAAAAGGACGCTAAAATTTCGATTTGATCTTGAACTTTGCAAACGTGTGTCCAGCGATCTATCGCTGCGACGTTTCACATCAAAAATCATAATCACATGCAGCTGCTTTGTGCGAAATTAAATTCGCATAGAGTTAATCGAGCAGGAAGGAGAATCGAAGCGGGGACAGGCGGTGAATGATGGTTCGGCGAATGTGGAAAGGAATAGAGGAGCAATTTCCGTTGAAAAATCCAGCGTAAAATGGCCGGTCGTAGGTCGAGGAAAGCGTAAAGAATTCCCGGGTCCCGATCTAACGCAGTTAATTTGGCGAATGGGGCTGTCCCTCCACCCTGAACATGGCCACTGCCGTCGCATGTGTGTACGACAGTCGTCTGCCGACGCGTGTGTGCGTGCACGTACGGGGTGATCCTGGCGGAGTCTAATAAAAAGCATCCCCGTGAGCCGTGGGATGGTTGGGTCAGAAGTCCATTCGGAAAATGGAGGGACCCGGTCGTCCAACTAAATCTACCCCGATAACGTGCACGTATTGTCCACGCGAGGCCGCGTTCGAAAATCGTTCGCGTGCTCGCGGTAGCGATTTAAGAAACGAAACGTGGTGCAGAACGTTCAGCGGGACGCGATTCATCGTCTGAGGTCGAGAGAAACGCGGCCGGCTGGTCGGACGATTTTACGGGATTTTTTGTTCGCCGGAGGAACGAGACGAAACCTATCCGGTCTGTTAGCAAGACGTATGGGATACGGCTAGTCCTGGCCAGGCTTCGACTCGACTTCCGACTTTCCCTGCAGAAAACATTGAGTCTGAGGGGTGGCGGCCTCATCCCTACCC